GGGCAGGATCACCTCCCTCCACCTGCTGGCAACACTCTGCCTAATGCACCCCAGGAGACCATTGGCCTTCTTGGCCACAAGGGCACACTGCTGCCTCATGCTTAACTTGTTGTCCACCAGCACTCCCAGGTCCTTCTCTGCAGAGCTACTTTCCAGCAGGTCAACCCCCAGCCTGTACTGGTGCAGGGGATTATTCCTGCCTAGGTGCAGGACCTTGCACTTGCCTTTGTTGAACTTCAGGAGGTTCCTCTCCGCCCAGCTCTCCAGCCTGTCCAGGTCCCTCTGAATGGCAGCACAGTCTTCTGGTGTGCCAGCCTCTCCCCCCAGTTTAGTATCATCAGCAAACTTGCTGAGGGTGCACTCTGTCCCTTCCTCCAGGTCATTGATGAATATATTGAACAAGACGACCCAGGACTGACCCCTGGGGGACACCACTAGCCACAGGCCTCCAACTTGACTCTGCGCCATTCACCACAACCCTCTGAGCTCGGCCATCCAGCCAGTTCTCAATCCACCTCACTGTCCACTCATCCAACCCATACTTCCTGAGTTTACCTAGGAGGATGTGATGGGAGACAAGTAAATGAATCCTGGCCTTTCTTTGTAGTATGTCCTATTAATAGCAGCTTGTCTGGAAGTTGGGAGAATGTACCAAGGATGTAAGATTACGCGTTCACTGTTCTTACAGTTGTCTTTTGGCATCAACAATAAGTAGAGGAGATAGGAAATCGGAAGATACAGATCTTTGTTCTGATCAGGTATGGCCATCCCTATGTTCTTACTGTCCTTTGGGTTGCATTGAAGAGATACTACTGCAGGGTACTTCAGTACCTTGAGAGGCAGTATATAGCCCTGTTCCTGAGGGGAAGTCATTGTCTCAGTATACTGACAGTTGGAGAACAGACTTCAGAGACTTTGCTTCAGAGTACTGTGGTTTGTGGAGTGTGCGTTTGTTTTGTTTTTTTTCTGAGGAGTTGAAAGACCTCTGTGATGCAGTTTGGAGCTCTTCTTCCCCTCGTTGCTCTTCTTTTCTGCAACTTGTTTCCTTTGTTTCTTGCCCTTGTGATTCAAGCTTAGCTTTAGAGTAGTTCCAAGAATGTCTTCCCTCTTCTGTTCTTTACTTTAGTGTTTAGCGAGTATACAGGGTCACTCTGTGAAAGGTGCTCGGGTAGACGTGGTACTAAGGTCACTGAACCTAGAAATAAAGGGAAGTCTGCTGTCTAAAGACAAGTGCCACAAAGAAGGCATAGATACAGCCATGCTCATTGTTTGCTTTTCAACCATACAGCAACTCAGAACATGGAGAGTAGAGGAGCCCTCTCAAAGCATGTGGTGTAGCCTCAGATTTTTGTTACTTTCTTTTTTTTTATTGTAGGACAGTCACAATTTCTAGCTTCTGATGGCAGAGAAATCCTTTCTTCTGTCATGCTTCTGCATCTCCTATAGGAATAAAAATGTTTATTTAGATATTCTATAGGAAATCTTCACCTACGTTCTCTTTGGTTTTTACCTCACAGTTTAGAAACCTGGAACTTCTTTTCTGGACTCGGCACACTGAAAAGAGTCCATGGAAAGCTTCCATCAGTACGCTTGTGCTTTCTCACAGGTGAACTAAAAATGTGTTTGCTATTTCTGGAAGATACTGAGAGTTGAGACAAATGGGATGAAGGAAATGGAAGTAGGGCTTGAATATTTGACTAAAGGGGTTACTGCCCCAGGAATAGTTGGGATTGTTTTTGGGAGCCTTGTGTTGAACAGCGGAAATATGTTTATACAGGCATTGTGCTGGTGGGAAGGGACCAGAGCAGTGTTAATGTTGTCAGGGTTCTTACGCCAGTGAAAGCTGGAGGCGTTATTGGTGGGAGTGAAATTGTAATGAAGGTTAACAGAGAGCAAGTTTGTCAAGTACAGTTTGGGCTTACATCAGTAAACCAGAAGTAGTAGCGTATGGGTTTGTTTGCTTTTGTTTGTTTGCTTTTTTTAAAATTTTTTTTTCTAAAATGAATAAGGAATGGCTTATGAAAGTAAATAGATAAACATAACTCATACCCAGGATTCCATATCTCAGAGACCATTCCAGAGCAAAATTACTGTGAAATTCCAGCGCAGGAGACATGTGCAGATACAAGTATTAAGCACCTTAGAGGTTGAACACGCAAAGCCCAGGCAGAGTTTGTGATACCGGTGACCTTGTAAGTCACAGTAGAATCTACCCTCTGTGGCCTGTTTACTTCTGCCTGATATTCTTAGACTTCTCTGGATTGTCTTCTAGAAACTTTAACAGTTTTTCCTCTTGGTTGCTAACTAGGTTAACTGAAGATTTGTTTATATGATTGTAGTTTATTATAGTGGGCAATCATATTCAGATGTCTCTGCTCATGTTAGAATACTTAAAATGCTTCTCTTGTCAGAACATATTTCATATTGAAGTAGAGAGAAGGAGGCTTGGAAGTACTTGAATATAGGCTAATCTGAGGGGCTAGGTGGGAAGACACAGATTTGATCCTGTTAAATTATGGGCAGTTTTGCCTTTTTCTGTGAAAAGAGAGGGTAGAAAATAGAATAGCAACTTGGCTTTACCTGTTAAAATTAAAGCTGACTTGGTTTATGCTGGTAGCCTTTCATGAAAGAAGTTGCACTTTTTTTTAGTCTCATTAACTATCTCATCCTAACATAGTCCGCTATGTCAGCAAATCGGGTGTGTGCATTTATGAACTGTCAGTGAAAAATGGAAGTTGGTTGCAAACCACTTCCAAAACTTAATGTATGGAAGTGATGCAGCTTGGGCAACCGAATTAATAGCCTGGATCCAGGATGATTAATTATGGAGTCCACTCAGGTATGCCTGTGCTTGGGGCAGGTCTGGTTATTCCAAATCTGGATAAAACAGCCACAGATAGCTTTTCTATAAGAGCAGTCAGTCTGCAGCACAGTAATAGAGCGTTTCATAGTTGTTGGTGTGTTTTCTTGTTGTAACACTTGGACATGGATTTTCAGCTACGCCAAGGGTCTGTAGCCTGTCTGCTAGCTTCAACTAGGATGCCTGCAGTCATTTCATATGTTCTGGTCATGCCAGTGCAACTGCATAGCACTCCCACATTGAGATGGGAGTGTATGTATCCGTGGAGGCTTTCCTTTGTGATAGGGGAACTTTCCATATTAGAGATAAGAAACTAAGACCTAGAACAACTTGAATTCCTCAAGATTACACAGAAAACTTGTGGTAACACTGGAAATTGAACCCTGATCTCAAAGCCTACGTAGGTGCTGTAAATTTTGAAATATCCCTTTTCCATGCTTTCATGCAGAATTTAAGTTACATGTTTGATCTGGATCCCATTAAAGCCTATAAAAAATATTTCCAGTGACTTTAATAGGTTTCAGATGCATCACAGAAAGAGTTCAGCTGATTTTCTGATGATTTTGCTGTGTCGTAGTTGTTCTATGGGGTTGTGCTCATACATGGATGCTCCAAAAAAAAAAAAGGCTTATGAGTAAGAGCTACCTAAATTTTACTAGTTTATCTTCTTGTTTCATTATTATTATTACAGAGGACAGTGCCCAGTTTGTGATCACCAGTTGGAGGACAGTGACCTCACTGAAGAAGAGTATAATAATCTCAGAGAAAGAATAATAACAGATGTGATACATGGAAGTGATACTTTTAGAAAGACAAGTCCACAGGTAGGTCTTGTACGCTCTCAGGTTTATTGGCTTGGAGGGTAATAATCAATGTTCAAGTGCTTTGAAAACGCAACAAATCTTGTTGTCTTTTTTTCTTTGCTTTAAACATTAATTACATTAGATACTTTAACCTATATATCCTTTTCCATTTTGTTGATAAAATTGGTATTAATCTTGAACTCTCTTATATTGTCTTCATTATTATATTTCCAGTTAGTCATGAATGGATGCTGAAGTAGTTAGTGTAACAGAAAGCTTGGAAAAAGTAGTTTTTTTTTAAAGTTTAAAAAAAAGCATTAAAAGGGTTGGAAATCTCTTAATCCTTCAAAAGCTAGACTTTCAGTGGGCAATGAAGACCAGTAACTAGAGTTAAAAAAATATATATTTTTTTGTCTAGCATTTTGCACTGGCGAAAAAAAAGAAGTCCTAGTGTTCTTGAAATCCTGTATCGTATCTGAAGCTTGCGCTTAACATGCTGAATATTGGGTTTTTTCACTGTGTAGCTGTGTGCCAGAAATTATGAAGAACTGTTGTTTTGTTCACTCAGCTTTCACAAACAGCCAACTGCCGCTCAATTTTAAAGATATATTTTCATATTTCTAACTACAGTATGCATTAGGAGTATCAAGCTTTTCAAAGGTTGTTGTGAGTATATGAGAGAGCATAGTTCTCAGACACTGCTATACTGCAGTTCTATTTCTTACTCATCTTGCGTGGTCATTAGTTAATCAGCAAGAGTGATGCTGAATGAAGGTGAACTCCGCTAGGTGGAGCCCACATCACGTCTCAGGGTGGTTGCAACTTACCTTTATAAATATTGATGTAACTTTGCTGCAACTGGCACCAGTTCAGCACCAGTGCTGAAAATATGGAAGAGGGCACCAGATTGAGTTCTTGAGACTTTCTTCAGACAGACTTCATGAACGCATAATGGTTCTAGAAACAGCTAATGTCAGGGTGCCTGTAGTACATGAAGTCTGTTGTTCAGACATCTAATTTCCACGCAGGCTTTCTTCTCAGTTCAGGTCTTCAAGCTGATCTGGCTGTGAATTATGCAGAGAAGTGAAGTTATCTTTAAAATGTAGCAGTAATTTTAAGTAATGAATGGGTACTGGTGTTATAAAGGAATATGTTTTATTGCACACTGTACAACTAACACTACCTGTTCCCTAAAAGCCCTTGTAAGAATTGTGGCTGAGATAGGTTTATGCAGTTAACGAGTTAACTGCCTAATCTGTGAAGCATCGTTTACATTCCCTTTAGTGACAGCTGGCTGGAAAAAGTCAGATTTGCAAAGTATATGGGCTAGATTAGTGGTACCAGCTGCATGGGAGAAAACTTAGGAAGGGAAATTCAGACAAGGTAACAGGACGTTCGAACCCAAGTTGAACAGTAGAGGAAATGTTGCTCCTACTGTTTTATCACCTAGATTGATCAAAGAAATGCAACCTGAGCAATCAGAATCAACAGACTATTTTAAGCTTTGATGTCCATAAATTTTGTTAATCTGCTTGATAGCTGAAATTCTGTGATTTACCACTTTGGGGGCCATCTACTTGGCAATTCTAAATTGGCCTTGTTACAATTCTGTATCTGCAGGCAGTCATCTGAAGGCTGAATGGAAATAAAACAGGATGTGTTTGCCGTTGGCTACCCAGCTTAAGTCTGCTGCCTCTGTGTATTTTGAGCATGGATGTGGGGTAAAGACAGCACAGTGTTGTGGTGTGTCAGAGGTTTCCAGAAATAAATTTGGGGCTTTTTAGTTGCCTTTGTGCTGTGAAAGCAGACATATGATGATGAGAATATCCTGCCAATTTTAGGTGTGCCAGATTGTGTGACTTCTCCTGCAGCCAGGGTTTTCCAGAGGGGAAGCTAGGTGAACAGGCTGAGATTATGATGTAGGCAAGTATATCAGAGAAGGGGTTTTCCATTTTCCACAGCCAGTCGTGTTTCTTGCAGTAGCCGCAATTCAAATAGAAAACATTTCTGCTGTCCTAAAGAAATAGGACTTTCTACTCCTCCTTCTAACTAGTTTTCTTCCATGTGTCTGTGCTTCTTGCAAAGAAAAGATTAGTCAGTAGAACAGTTTGAGTTGTTTTGACCTCTAAATAATTTTGTTCCCACAATGTTTCAAATTACATATGTAGTACATGTGGAGTTTTCTTTTTTCTTTCTTCTCTAAGCAATAGTCTTGTGTTACTGTTGCAACAATGTTATTGCTTTGTTTGATTTCTATTTCTTTCCCTCAAAGTATAAATGCAATCAGAGTAGAAAATGAGGAGCAAAGATTTGGTTTGGCCATAATCCTCCAAAAATAGTTTGTTGTGATGTAATTAAAAACAAATAAACAAACAAAACCCATTTTTTTGTGATTAGACAGTTTTACCGAAGAAAACTTAGGATTATAAATCAGAATGGTAATGAACAATACTATACAAATATTTTGAAAAGGTGGCCTATCTGGACTATAAAACTGATACTCTATGAGAAAATACCCATTACATTAAAAATAGGCCTCAATTCAGATCTCCTTTATAGGCAACTGTCAAAGAGTCTATTAGGAGTTGATATGATTTCACTATCTAATATAGTGAACTGCAACCTTGCAGGCTGCTGTAGGAAGAAAACTACTGTAATAAGACTGTCACCTTTGTACCAATGTCTATATGATATTTTCAGTTGGATGCTCTTATACTCTGCTTGCATTTAATTCGGAACTATCTTATTGAGGCTGGCAATGATATCATCAGCTGAGAGGCAGTAACATCTTTTGCTAGGATGACCTTCATGCCTCTGCTGTTCCCAGATGTTTCTTGCACGTACGCAAATGCAGTAATTTCATTCCCTTTGTGGCTATTTCATACCCCTGATAAGCCTGAAAGGACTGTTGGGTAGGGGAAAGGAAGCACTTGGGAGATGTGTATGTACTGTCTGAAGGCAGGAAGAGATGGTTTTGAGGGCATGTAAAGTCCCCACACCAGATCCGGGCTAAGTGTGCCAAGGGGCTTTACATTCCCATCTAGAGTATAAGAGACTAGAGGGGGAAGAGGAAGTGTGACCCATTCCTCTCAGTGTTATTTTTGCAGCTGAATGAGACTGTGCTGCTTCCACGGAGCCTTGAAAATAAAGCAGTGGCTCTTAACTTTTGCTTTGTTACCTTTTCTTTTCTATAACGCTTTGGTTCTCCTTCCACGTGCGCGTGATTCCCAACTCTATGAGGTGCCCCAAAACCCTCTGTGCTCTGTGTCAGTCCCACCTGAATGGAATAGTTTTCTACTTCTAGAAACCTATGTGCTCCAAGCAAGCAGTCTCTGACACAATCTGTCCTAACTCCACCTGGTAGATCTTCCACTCCAACTTCCACCGTAACCTCCTGGTGCCACCATCTGCCTAGTTGCCTCTAAATTCATAGCTAGTCACCTAAATTTTCTGCATTTGAGCTGCTTCCAAGATGAGCCACCCTTACCTGCGCGGAGGTTGCCTGGATGATGAGCTTCTCCATCTTACAGCTGGAGGCCATTGCTTCTTTACTTGAGCTTCTTGGAGAAAAAGAGATCGGCTAATTCGGTTAGGTCTGCTATGACTCCTGAGGAGATTAGAGGCTGAAGAGAGGAGGACGAAACCCTGCCCAGCAAATGACTGGTGTGTGCACAGTGCATGCCACAGCCCAGGCTGCATGTGCCATTGGCATCCTCTACCTCTATTCCTATATATTTCATTCTTTCTGTCAGTGCCAGAGAGCAGAGAACTTCTGAGAGGAGGAAACAAAGAAGGAAAAGGCTGTGTGGAATTTTTCCTGTGGCTTCGTGTGCCTCCTTACCTCTCAGATACATGCTACACTGCATCAGAGGGATCTGAATTCCCATTTAAGGGCTGTTTCTCTGTAGGACAGTAGGAACAGAAAAACTTGGCATGTTGCTGAATCTTACAAAACCTTGTACTGGGATGAGGGCTGTTGCTGAAAGGACAAAATTCTTGTACTGTATTCACAGGCAGGAATGACTGAATGTCCTCTGGTCAGCTCTACGGCAGCATGGGTCACTTTGCTAGGGTTAGGTTTAAAATGACAGAGCTTGGATCCAGTGCTAGATTCTGCAGGACTTATGCTGGGTAGGATGAAAACTGGTGCCACCAGCGGTTGAAGGCTTTTCATTAGTTCTGGAGAGGTAGAGGTGATGAGCGGTAGTTGAGGTTAGGACTGGGGCTAAGCTTGGGCTTCAAGGTAGTGAAGACTTGTGAGCTGCCTTCCCTCCCTCTTCCCCTGCCTCTCTCCCCCCAGTCGAATTCTAGAAGACCCAAGAGTAGAATGAATACTGAGGTTGGATTAGGTTGAATGAGTTATAGGCTGGTTTTTTTGGATGGATATGGGTTACCAGATTGTAGGCAGGATTGGATTTCTGGATAGCAAGGGTGGAAGAACTTGTTACTGCCGAATCTAGGAAGTCTTGAAAGTTTGTTTTTTGGGGATTAGTGTTTCAGATGGCAGGTACTGGGGAACTTGAATTATTGCTGGACCTTTAGAAGGTCATTCATTCAGGTCATTAAGGTTGAGAGCTAATACCAGCAGAGAGGAAGGGCTTATAGGTAGCCTTTTGGGCACGTGTTGGCGTTCTGCTATGAGTAAGACTAGGGTTACAGTTCATATTTGGGACTGAAATACTTGAAGCACTCGATTTAATATGGCTGTGGCTAGGCCAGAGCGTTAGATTAGAGGTAGCATTGGAAGGGACAAGTGTTTTATGATTCATGCTGTTACAGGGAAAATAACTTGCTTATAAGCAAGTTAGGATATGCGAGGGCCAGTGCTAAACAGTTTGGCAGTTTGATTCTACAGGTGTTGCAGAATAGCAATGATGATTTAATCCCTTATAGCCCTATGGCTTATTATTAGTTTCTGGGAGCTTATAGTCATTGAACTGTGGATAAAGATAGGGTTAGCGTTGCAATTAGAACTAAAAATATTGACATCAGGGCCTGAAGTCTCTTGGACCTTGAAGAGC